GACTTTTTCAAAAAGTATCACACTTATTTTTTTGAAAAAAATTTTAGGAAGATTAAAAGCGTTATTATGTAATATCACGATGACTTATAAATCTCAAGAGTAATTGCAAGAACATCACACTGATTTCGTTGAATCTCAAACTAGAAGTTAAGAAATACACTAGCAGGCGCACTATTCTTTCAGGTCAAAAAACCAGTACTGATTTGGAGCTAAACACATGGTAAATACAGTATGTAAAATATATATGTATTTAAATATTTAAGTTTATTTATAGATCGCATACGGTTAAAGAATAGAGAATTTAAAATATGTGGACTGAACTTATGACGTTACAAAAAATGAATATATGTTGCCACGAAACCTGTTCTAAAAAAAAAGAAGTAGCACGGGAATTGTGGAAATTGTAATCGTTTGATACTTGTGTTAGACATGTGTTCCTCAAAAAAATAGCACAAGGATGAACAATCGAATAGATTTTTTTTAATAGGCTAGTTAATATTTGTGATAGACTTAGAACAAGCTGGTTAGATAGAATATTTATATAACATACAGAATCATGTAAAGTGGTGCTTGGATTTTTGAGTAAGTGTATCTTGATTTATTATTAATTTGTGTGCTTGATTAATATTATGCATTTGTAATTCATAAAAACTGGCCTTTCCCTTTTTCAACCATCATTTCGCGTTTCTGTTTCCTTATCCTCAAATAGTCGTTTCTTATTTGAACTAGGTGCTACTTTTTTAAAGCGGCAGGTTGAATGTTTACTTTTTTTTTTTGTTGGTTTTCTCATACCACTACTGCTTACTCTAAAATCTCAATCATTAGACAATTTTTCGCAGCCCAAATTCTTAATTTTTGATGGAATCCTGAAGTAGATTTTAGAGAGAATGATTTATTTAACTCTCCTCTTTGTGTTATTATTTTGGTATTTCTGATTTTCGCGGATATTTATAAGTTCAAAGATCAAAGGATAGCAACCTTAAAATACTAAGACATCAAAACAAGCGAGTATATACGGTATTAGAGTGTGTTTAACGAAGAATGTGCAAATTTGCAAACATTGCTAGCTTAATGTCAAATATGTAATCCTCAATAAACAACACACAGATGGAAGTAGAAATAAAAATGTTGACCGCGTTGAAGCATTTCAGCTCAAAGCTACAAAATATGAAGATGCAATCGAATAGATTAATGAATTCCTTTTAATATACTAATTAAC